GTGTGGACGTTGACGAAAAAAAAAAGAGGATACAGTTATTTAAAGCTCTGGATACAAGTGTGGTAATCAACAGTAATAGTGCTGATTTCAAAGTGAAATTGTCACAGATTGTATTGAAATAACATAGTAGAGGAGAATAATTCTTGTCAAATTGTGTTCTAAAGTAACTGAGCCAGCCTGTGTGGACTTTGACAAAAATAAGACAGTTATTTAAAGGAGGAGCAAAATGTACATGGTAGTGGGATGCAAACCATTGACTTTTGGGTTTACAGTCTGGCATGTAATGAATATGCCATGTCTGGACTGAGTGGTGTGAAGAACTTGTTGTATATTGATTATGCCAATAAGGATAAAAAGATGTGTGGCTCAATTTCTAGTGGAGCTGCCAATACCTAACTTAAGTTTGTCTTGTATCAAGCGCTCCATGAAAGTCACTATTTTGGTCAGTTAGTGTCAACTTCTTTTTGACAAATGTGATAAGCTATACTTGAGTTAAAAAAGGTAGTTATCTTATACCTTGACCATCTTATAGATAGACTTATTGCAGAAATTGTCATTGGATTTTGTCTGTGTGACAGGTGAACTGGAGTTTGCTGCAATCTGCTAACCTGATTGTACCTTAGAACAATGGACTACATGAGTGTATATTGAGAAGGAGTGATTGATACTGCAAAATATGTAATTGGTGTGGCATTTTTTACCTCTGCTTTGGTGATAGAAATAATGCTTAAATGGGCTTTTACCTGTCTGGAAATAAGACTTTACTTGCTTAAATATTTATCTGTCCAGGTGCAAATATTGTACCATGGCTAATCTGCAACTATAGGTATTTGGCTATTCATCTTCGATCTGGAATCATCATCTACATGGCAACTAAGGCAAACAAGCTAAGAAACTAGGGTCACAACTGCTTCACTACATCTTAAAATTAATGCATAGTGCCCAGAGCATCCAAAATCTTGAGCTGAGGATTAACAGCATGAATTCAACAGAGACATGGACTCTGTTTTGAACTTGCAGACATATTTGTGGAACCAGATAACCAGTTGGATTTGATAACCATCACGTATAATCAAATGTCCAAAGATAGTATGTATCCAACAAAACAATTCATTTGAAGTCTTCTTGAAGCACTGAAATTTAGGAGATGCGAAGGATAGGATAATATACACTTGAAGAGAATTTGGTGATTGTCAATTTACTTCACTAACTGGACATCTTTTAAAGATGTAAACCAACTTTGTTTTAGCATGATCTGCATATCTTCATTCACTAGGAATTTATGAATTGGTCATGTTCAATGTATCTACAATTTCATGTGGGACATCTGGATAAGATAATTGGACAATACTTTCCACAAGTTTGGCTAAGGCTTCCTCTTTCCCCCTTACTCTGCTATTGAGTATTCCTTTAGAATCTGCCTTCTGATGTGGGCCCAGCATGGTCAGATGGTTAGGGTACTCGGCTCGCAATCTGCGGGTCGTGGGTTCGTATCCCCATCACAGGAAGGCATGTATAATGTGGTTCTCAACTTGTGCTGTAGTTATTGGGCCCCAGAGATTTTAGGCAGGAGATTCTTCAGACTTTGCATAATGCAAAGACTGAAAGCCAAAGTGTTACACACACACACACACTTGTGGTAATGTGCATTAATGGTTTTACTAGTCACATTCAATTTGAGATGTTAACCCTGTTTGGGCTGGTGGCAACTCTCTGGGGTCGAAAAGGCCACCAATGGCACACCTATAACCAAAAGACTTTTTGAAAACTGTTTGGCCCTTTCCAAAGTAGAGGTTTATATTTACCCAGACCCTAGCATCCCTTGGAAATATACATATCCAAGGTTTCTTTCCTAAATTACGTTCGTTTATTCTGAATAAATATTTCAATAATCCTGTGTTGAGAGGCATTTATTATACAATAGCAAATGTATTGGACAATAACTAGTAAATCTTAGAACCAATGGCTAAAGATCATTGGATAGAATAGATTCTTGTCTATCTACGTAAATGCAATGTAAATAACACTTGTGTAAGCCATACTGTATGGCTTATGAGAATTGACTACCAAAAAGTCTAACAGTGGAGAACAAGATTCTAATGTGAAATTTACCAAACATAGGAATTAGCTTCAATCCTGTGATTTCTTATAATTTATATTGAAGATATCTTTGTTTGTAATAATCCTTTTGTGTTATATTATGCCAGTTTTAAAATTACAGGAATATTTTTGTAAGAGAAGACTTAAGGTAAGAATATATCTAATCATAAACATCTCAGGTGTGAAAAAAAGATGCAGCCAAAAAGGGATTAAGAAATGAAATCAAAATTGTCGGCCAAACTGGTGGCTACACTTACAGCGTTGATAAAAATTTTACAGCAGATATTCATTCTATAGACAGGCTGTGTTTTTTGTTCAACCTGGGGCATGATGGTGAGTAAAACAAAATATGTGGCCTAACTAACTAATCCATGAATATCTATTGTAAAATTCCTATCAATGCTATAAGTGTAGTTACCAGTTTGGCTACCAATTTTGATTTTGTTCCTTCAAGTCGTACACTCAATCCTTTTTTGGCCACACTTTTTTTTTACACCTAGGGCGTTTTTGATTAGAAATCATGACTTTTTTTTTGCCAATGCACACCAACCAACGATAGCAAGTAAGAAAGTGACACATTAACCAACATTAGCTTTAGGATTACAACATCTAGAGACAGAATTTCAGAAAATTCACAACCTAAAACAATATACAAATATTAAAGCTAATAATACGTTTATCTCAAACACAACCTACATATTATGTAGAAAGTGTATATCAAATTTATGGAATTAGATTAAGCATTTTAGATATTAGAGAAACAAACAAACAAGAGTAACTACATCATCCTGACATCCAAGATAGGTTTAATCAGTGGTTTCAACATTGTACAATGTGTTTCCCAGAGGAAACACTGGCTCTAGACGGGATAAAGTCTAGCAAAGATGTGTTGATTGTCTTTCACAGAGAATAGCCCTGGAGGTAACTGATATGTGTTGGTCATTATCAGTTGCTTTATTTATTGGGTCGAGGCTTATCCATTGGTCCATTCTTCAGCACAGTATATTGCTGATGTGATGTGTTGGTGGAACACTGGATAGTCCAATTCAACACACCTGAAGAATTTCACCTGGATGAAGAAACTAATTTTGATAGCTAACTATTTTTTGAATATGCTGAATGTGGCTAAAACATGCACTGTGCCTTATCATCCCCATGCTGATGGTTTGGCAGAATGGGTAATACAAAATTTCTTAATTCCATCTGACAAACACTTGGGACAGAACAGAGATTGACTGAATATTCACCAAACATGCTCATATTTGGTCAGGAAATACTACTTCCTGTGGATGTGATGTATGAACTACTCCTTAGAACAGATTTGCTGCAGTGTTTGGAAGAATACTTGGATTGTCTAATGTATGTATTAGATGATGCATACTAGTTTGTACACCACAATATGGCAGGAGAAATATCATGACAAAAGTGAATGAATAAAAGTTAAAGCACGAAGATTGTGTATGGTTTTGATCTGTGCTAACAACACGGAGGCAGCTTGGCTCTTGCTGAACGGGCTCTTATCTCGTACTTTAAGAGATTGGTCTATTGAAATACAAGATACAGTAGTCACGTGGCATGTGTAAGGATGTGGAAGATGTCGATAAACTATGACCTTATGTTACTGACAAATCTCTCATGCACTGGCTTGACCATGAATAAGGGGTCAACACTGATGAGAGTACTGTTTTGTATCACCTCGGCTCAGCTTATCTGACTGTACAAGACCTGTTAGATGAGGAAGTGCCTGAAGAAAAGATACCAGAGAGCCCTAGTGATCAGCTGAGATGATGATAGCAACCCCGTGATTGCTATGGCTGTGATTAACCATCAGACCAGCAGTTAAGACAGTCACTGATTGTGAGATCAATGACTGACAGGAAGTGGCATTCCATGCTTTTCGAACTATCAAGTGGTGTTTCACTATGAAATGCATGCACTACATTGTGTGATTGCCACTTGATGACTACAAAAGTTAGGACAGTTTGTTTATTGCAATATTAACAGAAACAAAACAGTGTTTAAACCCTTACTTTCTGAGCCATCAAGTAGAGTTTCATTGAAAGATAATTTTAGAATATTACATGATAGCTGCCTGATTATTACTTTGTAGAACGAATGGTGCCAGTAAATATAATGCCAAGAACATCAACAGTTTCCCAACTTGGCAATGTTGTTGAGCAGCCCACCATATTCTATATTGTGATGAAGTAGTGATGTAGTTGAAGTAGTCCAGACGTAGTTAGCTTAGCAGTATAGTAGAAGATTGAAACCAAATAAGCCTTTCTATTTTATATGGCATAGTTAATGATATTTGAGGTTCAAATTCTTGATTAAATGCAGAAAGAGGTGTGGCTGGTTTAATCTTTGCATTTGCCAAGCCCCCCCCCCTCACCTCATTGGCTAAGTAGTATGTTTGAAGAATTATAGTGCTAAAAATCAGGTTTTTCCACTTTCACTTAATTGATACCCTTTTGCTCTTCCTTTTTCACTTTATTTGTGTTTTTCGTTATTCCCTTTTTACTTCATTGATGTTCCCTTGTATATTTTATATGGCATCCTGGAACTTATCTTCAGTCAGATATATTTTTATTGATAATCATTTCTGTAAATCTTTTGTCTCGTTTTCTTAATTTCTATCTTAACTTCTTACCTCATTCTAACAATTTTCTGTCTTTTTCTTTTCGATCTTTTGATTTATCATTTTTTCCCTTTTGATATTCTTCTCACTGTTTCATCTTTTTCGTTAAATTTTCGATATTGCTTCGAGTATATTTCTAATCTGGAAGTTGAGTGTTGTTTTTATTTATTTTTACCAAAATAATTCAACTCGTGACATCAATGTTATAACAGTTTTATTGTTGAATGCATTCTTTAGCAATAACAATAAATAAATTTATTTCCTTTATTCCTGCTTTTCTGTTAGCTAAATTCAAAGTAAATGCTAGTACAACAATTTCACTTACTTGCAATTTCTCTTGTATGTATTGCTCTTTCTCATATCTATAATACATAATTACAAACAAAAACTCAAAATTTACAATACTGAAATATATAACTGTCTCACAGTAAGTTAAAAAACACATTCACTAGTTAACAGGCTCACCCTGACTAACTTACTAATTAACTATCTCACTGATCAAAATCAATATATTCTAGCCTAACTCGCTTTTTGTATGGCTCAAATCGTTTCATAAACTTTCAAGAAAATTTTAGTAATTTAGTCATGCCAATCATTCTACGTTAAACCTCTCTCTGGCCAAATAACAATACAAATATTTAGAAACATTTAGATAAAAAAGAACAAAAAATAGCGTACAATAATATTTTTGTTAGCAGATCTCATCTATTTTATGTTACATGTGTAATCATATTTGTGAACATTGAAGCATTGATTAATATTCATTTTTTCTCTAGTAAGAGTGTATAAACCACGTGTAAAAATACCATATTCAGTGACTGTTGGTTCCCCTTTTTATTACATAGTAAAGATGTTTTTTACTACTTACGGTAAGTCATAATTCTATATACATGTGTCAGATGGATACTCATTAGAGATTTGATTCTCTGCAAGTAATTGAAAAATGAACACCTATAATAATAATTGAGACTAAATGTGGATAGCGCATATCTCACCTTCCTCTAGTGTACATTTCATATTTCTAACTTGTTTTATATTTGTCTTTAGTTCTAATTTGGAACATAGTAAATCCGGTTGAGTTCGTGTACTAATTCAGCCTTAGGTGTTTTATGGGACAGTTGTATCCTACATTACTTTGAATATGTTGGTCTAATATACAGATTACACACGGCACAGAGTAGCTTTTAGACATCAGTAATCCAATGTTTTGATGGATCAGCTACAGAGAGAATATGTATCGCGGAAGTAAGCTATGTATTTTCAGGCAGATTCGATTCTGCCTCCAGAGCCAAGACTTGCAGTAGAAGTCTTGTCCTTGTTTCCTTTTCATCCTGTTAATTTGCACAGTAAATTCAAGAACGATTCTCCAGTTACTTTTAAATACACTTTCATTTCTAAAGATATGGTTTACTTTTTTGTTAATTTTATTTGAATATAATTTGGCTATCATTTTCTTTCATTACAACCAATCAATTTCGCTTTCAATTTAACAATGTGTTAGTCCCTCCCTGCTATGCACCGACAAAAACAGCAGCCCACGTGATTTCTTATAGTAGATATGTATACTTTACAGATTTTGTAAAATTTTAAATGCTTAGTCACAATAGATTGCATAAAATTATAATTGTCAACATTTTCGTATTTTGGCCGCAAAGTTTGATTTCACATTTTTCTTTCGCAATTCTTTTTTCTTTTTTAACCACACGTTTTTTTACAGCTATGCTGTTTTTGATTACATATCATTCTTTTTTTTGTTGTACATTAGGTAAAAATAACCACAAAGAACATAAATTTGTTACTCACATATAGAATAGAATAATTAGCAGCAAGTACCTATTCAAATCGGAGACATTATAATTGCATGTGGGTTTCTTCAATACTTCAATAAATGAGTTCATATCTTTCAGTTGCTTTATTTTTGTCTATACCTTTTTCAGCCAAGTTGTTTTTTTAATATATATCATGTTCCTTGTATAGATTTGTATAGTAGCTAAAGTGATATTATAAAATATACTAGCTATATGCCAGAAACGAAGGCAATCACAAAACAGGAAGCGTTTTTATTACTTTCATTGATTGAACTCTGATGCAAAGTAGTATGCAAAACTCATGTGAAAATTTTATACAATAGTAGTTTTGGGCTCATAACTTTTGGATTTCGTGTCCGATTTTTATAAAATTAAAAAAGAGTCTACTTTTAAAAACACCCTAATATGTGGTAGAAATTTTAGCGCGACGCGATCGCATTAGCTAATTTTTCTCCAGGTGAGCGCAAATATTTATGAGATTTTAGCGTAATGTTTGCTTATTTTTGTCCTTCTTTCCGAGAATACTTGAGCTACTACAACCAAATGTTCCGTCAATATAGGGGAACATGCGAAGAATTTCAGGCTAAGTTTAACCTGCTATAAAGCAATAAGAGTTAAAACGATTTCTTTGAAATTTGGTGTGTAAGGTAAGGTGGCCTGGGAGACCGACTACACAGAAAAATGGGAGAGTTTTGATTAATGGGGGCGATTATACGGATGGTTGAAAACCCCAAAGTTTTTATTCCTGATAATAACACATTATGTGTCGTACGTTTTTTTTGTTTTGGCCGCACGATACACTACTGTGTATCTTGATTATTGTTACTTTCTAGTTTTGCAAGCAATATACAGTAGCACAATGTCCCTGAAAAGAAATTACAGTTGTCCAACCTTGTACTAGTTATTTGTCACTTAATATCTTGAAAAAGAACGTATTGAGGCTTTATTAAAGTTTATTGGCATTAAACACCAGAATAATACAGTAATAGGTAATAAACAAATGTTTATACTACCGTTTATAGGAGTTAAATGGATTATGGTTCAATTTCAAGTTTTGCTTCTACTTCGTATATCTTTTATTTATTTTTGTTTAGTATTTGGCGGGCCAGGTGCACCCCTCGGGTCACGAAGATGAAGAAAATTTCTAATAACGAGTAAAAAAAACAAAAAACATTCACGTGTCATTGAACTTAATATTCAAATAGTTGATTTAATGCTAACAAATACTGTGAAACAGAAAACTATTTGAGTCCCAAATCTACTAGTTTAATATAGATAACTAGAATATTTCTTAGTTTGTTGAGTGTTAAAAATTAGTTAGATTATGTTATTTTATGTATATTTGGTTTTTGCGCGTCTACTCACAAATATTGTATAAAAATACATTTGGGCTTCTCCCTGCATGCTTCATTTATATTTTCTTTAGGCTAAGCTTATAAGTATTTAAGTGGTTCAAAACAAATAATATTTCAAAACAATCTTTAATAACGAGTTAAGAGTAACCACCTTAAATATTAATGTTTCTAAGGGTTACTATTACAATACATAATCTTAAAACTAAAACATACCTTTAGCTAATGTGTTACAATTTTCGCCCATCAGTAACGAGGATCATCAGAAAGAAGACTGGTTTAGTATTCATGAGCGAATTTGCTCAGAGCTACGTGAATTACGTGGACCAAAGCCTGTCTTTACAGTTCAGTATCAACGAGAAGAACGGAACAAGTACGAACAAAATAAGAAGGTAGAAATCCCATCAAATTATATAATTATACTAAAAGAAATTTCGAATCTTTTTTCTTCATAGTCTGTCTAAGATTCTATATTCTCTGTAATTTTGTTATGGTGGCAAAGTAAAAGAAAAAATATTTTGAAAGATTTCTTTATTTTTATGCAAACCTGTAGAAGGGGTTATGTGCGCTATGTCCACTGCAGAGATCGAACCTCTAATTTTGCCATTTTAAATCCTCAAGCTTACCAATTATCCATTGTGGGAAGGATTTTCAATGAAATTTCACTAATGATAGATTGAGTGTGGTCAAGTGGTTAGCGTGTCGGGTTGTGGATCTAAAGTTCCAGATTTTGAGACAATGCTACTGAATACGCTTCGCACTTGCATCTTGTGAGCGCGTTATAAAAGTGACAGTCAGAAGTTTTCATGCTGTTGATGTATCGTATGGTTTAATGATTACACATTCCAATATTTACAATGCCGCATGAATTGCAAACAAACTTGTGTAGTAAATGTAGCAAAACTGGTACAAGAAAAGAAAAAAAGAAGAGAGAGAAAAGTAGTTTGGACGAATAGGCTACTTTTAATCATGCATCAGTCACCTTAACTAATTGAAGTAATAATATAGGTTTATGTAATTCCACTTAATCAAAGTCAAATAAAGAGGGACTCGCCATGTGCTAGTTTAATGTGTTAACTGTCTCTGTGATATCCATGTCCTCTGGTGTGCATCACTTTCAATGATGTTTTATTCCCTACCTCATTTTTATATGCTGCCTTTTTATTCCTTTAAACTTAAAACCTGTCTTTTTATTCATTTTATTTAAATTACATTAGTGTACTACGAACTCGATCCTACTGTTCTACACAGTTTCGTCTCTTCTTTTTCTTTAGTTTTCAAAATTAGCCAAAAGATCATAAAATAAAATACGAAATAATATATATTTAAAAAAAATTAAAGAACCAATTTTCTATTTGACCTGGAGAATACTTTCGTAACGTCTTCCACGTTCAAGCTCGTAGTGATAGCTTTTTCATGACCCAAAATGATTAAATTTCTCTTTTGTCATGAAGCATGGATCGACGGAAAATGGTAAGTAAAGCACTCTGACAGAGTGAAGAAGAAAATTTCACATGAAGCTGGAGACGCACCAATTATCAAGGCTGACATATACATCTTATGCAGCACTGGAAATGCATCTGTAATTTTTGTCAACAACAGCTATGATCTGAAGAGGACTTAGCATGGTGGCATCAAGAAATGTACTGAATCGGGGTACAAGACCAAACAAAACTTTCATTAAATCCATATTCTTTTCAGAAAATGTTTTCCATCTTTGACACTACTCTGTTTAGAATGTTTAGCATGGCTCTCTTTAAGGTCGGCCCGGCATGGCCAGGTGGTTAGAGCGCTCGACTCCCAATCTGAGGGTCGCGGGTTCGAATCCCTGTCCCACCAAACATGCTCGCCCTTTCAGCCGTGGGGGCGTTATAATGTAACGATCGTTGGTAAAAGAGTATCCCAAGAGTTAGCGATGGGTGGTGATGAGTAGCTGCCTTCCCTCTAGTCTTACACTGCTAAATTAGAGACGGCTAGCACATTTAGCTCTCTGCGCGAAATTCCAAACAAACAACCATTCTATTTTCTTTGTATTATTATAGAAAGGTTAGAAAAAACGACCTTTATACTCCAGGTATATATAAAATAATTGTTTTATTTTAACCAACGTTTCGCCTTTGCGGCTTCATCAGGGTTAATATACACATCTGTTTGATATTAGAATATTCGTTAAGTTGTAATTCTAAACTTTTTTATCAAAATGTTTAAATCCCTCCAGTGTGCACTGTAAATTTTGAAAGACAACAAAATTGTCTTTGTATTATTTTTTGAAAATTTTCTTTGCCCTTTTTATACGTTTTAACTTTCTTTCAATCAATATTCTATTGAGTTCAAACCCACATCAACTGCATTTTTTTTTGTGCTTGAAACACCTTTTCACTTTGCAGTTGCAAATAATAAGAGGTAGAGCACCACTTTCTGAGTTTTCAGTAGTGTTCTGTGTTTGTTTTCTGTTTTAAAACAGAAAACAACACAGAAAAAAAAAGCAATCAACTTTTGTCCAGAAAATGGAAAATATTGGCCAAAGGAAGAGCAAAGAATGTTGAATAATTCCCAGCGAAAAAAGTTACTGAAACTTCATTTTCACAGAATTTAAAGCCTAATCCACAACTTTTGTTATAGCATATCTTTCATAATTCGAAAATTTTCTGAATATTACATGCTCAACATTTATCATCAATATGGGCTTGGTGAAGAGGCAAACTTAGGGATATTCTCAGAAATAAAACAACAACAACTATAGTTTATAACAGTCAAATCGAGATCTTTTAGAAATTAGTAAATAGACATTCGATTTAATTGTATAAGGAAATAACCATGACTTCATTTTATTTACCTCTTCTACTTAAATGATCTAAACTCAAAATATTAATTTTTTTGCACCTGCATTAGGAAGTTATAGAACAATGTAAGATCTCAAACCTGGTCTTGGTCCAGTATGGATGTAGCAAGTTAATAAAATGCTGTGAAGTGAATTTGATTAAGAATAATAGAATAAATTCATTAATACACTGCTAATAACAACTTAGCCTCGGTTGAAAAATCTTTTCAGATGTATCTGCGAGAACAAGCGCTTATGACAGCGCACAAGTTTTTATTGAATGGGAAGCCATCTCTAGCTATACCTGCAGCAATGCAGTCACTGAGACTCGGCACTGAGGTGTATGGTGATGGAAGTGCTAAACTAGTGCCTTCGTTTCTGCTTCTTGCAGAAGCTAATATTGGTAAGACGAAACAATGGTTTTTGAATACCATACTATAGTAAGAATTACATAAACGATTGAAATGTGGGTGTGTAATATGATGTTATAGAAAACCTGAAATAACTTTCATGATGTATAAACCACGTAGTTGTATATATATTTAGGTATATGGTGAACGCAAAGACTACTAGTCATTGACCGTAAGCTGTCTGTGCTTGTGTGACCGCCATTTTACCGGAGGTATCGTCTCTGTGCACAAATAATGACATGTAATACGTAAGAGAGAAATTTGCACACATTACAGCTCAATTTTCGATGATTTTTACAAAATCCTGTAATTTGTAATTAAAAGTTATAAATACATAGCATAAGCTTAATGCCAAGGTGTCAGAAGAATGTAATGGATATCTTGCAATGGTGAACAACATTCGTAGAAGCAAGGAATCTGTCAGTTTTAATACACAATCTACCACCTTTATACCGTTTGTATAATATAGATTAATCGAACGCAATGCATTTAAATAACGTTTTTTTAGCATAATATATTCTCAAAATTACTGCTGTGCCAACTAGAGGCAAGAATTTCAACAACTCTCCAGTTTACCGTATTCGCATCAATAGTATTTCATAATTTGAATTTTCTAAGACGTTATTTCTAAATTAGTATTTGTAAGATAACAATAAATAAAAAGGTATCGATCATTTATCAGCACCGTATAAAAATTTGTCAGCAAAATACACAAACACTAAAGCCAAATATAATTGACAAATTGTTTATTCTTGCAGACATCAAATGAATATGAACCATATTTATATGTACATGTACAGTTATTTCACAGAAAAAAAGCATATAATATTAATAGAGCTATAGAAAGTTAGTATTGTCAAAACCTTTCTACACAATAACGGAAATCTTCCATTAAAGTTATTGAGATTTGTTACTTATTATACAAAGAAAAAATGCCAAATGACATAATATACAACTTCCAAACTGAGAGACTTTAAATACGTTGGTAAAAATGGTCTGCCTTAGCCGTAGTCATCAAGAGAAAAGCAACTTATCAATGAAAACACATTCGGAACTGAATGCTTAAATAATCAAACTTAACAGTAAAAAAATAAAATGTTTAGTTTTTGCGGATAAGGACATTGAAATAAGCATGTGTAGTCAATATATTACATTATAATGTTAGTCATACAACAGATAAAACTGCTTGACAGGATTTCAGTTAGTAAAAATATATCAGAATTAAACATTTTTAAATGCTTGAAACAAAAGAGACAAAACAATGAAATCAGCTATTGTAGTTCTGCAGCAAAATCGCAAGGTACATTAAGACATTGTGCAAAATATACCATCCTTGTTTGCTAAAATATTGTTTGTCATAAATGACGAATTTCAAAGCTCTCGAAACGGTTGAAAGTGCTGATGTATATTTCATTTACACAATACTGTCTTAGTTAGACTTTGCCGAATATTTCGTCCCTTACTAACCAATCTTTCCATTGTATACCGTTTATACCTTGCTCTTTCATCTTCTTGATATTTTTTACCTTACCCCCTCAAGCGTTCTCTCGTTAGTTCCATCTTCTTTTGAAGCAAATGTTTTGTTGAGGAAAAAGTTACAGGAGGATTCAAAGGGTATTGTTGAACATCACTTCCTTCACTGCTCGTGCTAGAACACGGTTCCTCAGAAAAACACCTTAGCACAGCTGTGCATCTAAGTGTTGCTTACCCGTAAGTACAGATATAGTTGGTTTTATAGGCTGTTACTGTAGAATAACATTTGGCCCCAAGACTAAAATGATATGAACACTTTAATGGACCACTATTATGAAAGCTAAGCACTCAAAATCAGTTTTTTTTAAATATTTGTAACAACTATTGAAACTTCATAAAAGTTTGCCAATCTGACAACGGCGAATCTTTCATAGTGGTCAATCCATCACGTTTCCAAGTTAAACATTACAAGTTCACTAAAACAAACATAATATACCACTTCACGCAAAGGTTGTTTAAATTTCTTCGATTGCACACTTTGTATAAAAGAGGAAATGAAGTAAATAATGATGGCACAAGATCATTTTTCAAGTGCTCTCCGCGGCTTTTAGCTTAACTACAAACAAACATTTTTACAATATTGTGAAGCTGCAGCTGGACGTATCTATTAGCTGAAAACAATGTATTATATTTGTGCTGACTTATCCTTCCACTACTTATATATTGTTTTCGGTTATTTTATTATCAGATATTGATGAGGGTAAATTAGTGCATGTATGCATCACTGCTATTTTATCAATGAAGAGCTGTCTCTAAACATTGACTCGTGGTAGAAATTATTACACATATCAATTTAAAAAAGTATACTACGTTAAGTTCTCTAATGGTTTATATAATAAAAAACGCCTAATTTTATTATACCTACGAACCTGAAAACTTGATGCAGTGAAAGGCTCGCTGCAGATGCGTGAATATTGGTTGGAGTCCAATCCTTTCTCTACGTATAACATTAAAAACCATCTTCAGTTCTTCAATAAATATATATATATTGTAATACAAACCTATTAGTTGATATACTTTAAAGTTCCAATTACTTCCAAACGTATTATAATTTCTAAATACAGCATAAATGGTACCAATAACTACTTGTTTGTTTGTTTATTTTGAATTTCGCGCAAAGCTACACGAGGGCTATCTGCGCTAGCCGTCCCTAATTTGGCAGTGTAAGACTAGAGGGAAGGCAGCTAGTCATCACCACCCACCGCCAACTCTTGGGCTACTCTTTTACCAACCCAATAACTACTTATGATTGCAAATGTGTTGAATGTTAACATGTCAACAGAGTACTATTTTCCTTCCTAGCATCATCAATCCTGATGTTTCTAAACTAAGTAGTACGATCATGCATTACTATAGCAATACAAGCTATCGGTAGTCCCCCAGTGGCACAGCGGTATGTCTGCGGACTTATAACACTAGAATGCGGGTTTCGATACCCGTGGTGGGCAGAGTACGAATAGCCCATTGTGTAGCTTTGTGCTTAATTAAAAACAAACAAGCTATCGGTAATTTACTAATATATATATATATATATATATATATATATATATACTACACACACTACTACGTA